TGGACATAGCGCACCGACATGTCGCTCGTGGACTGGCTGCGTAGTTCCAATGTGTATCACTCGTGGACATGCGTTAGTTTACGGAGCGAAAAAGTGATTACAATTTACACATTCTCTTAAGGACCTGGCCGCTCTCAGGCTTCTCTCTGCTTACTATCTTCATTGTAGACTAGCCATTACATAGCCGACAGAACCGTGCAGGTGGCTGAAAAAATTAGAATTAGAGAAAAAAGACATTTTAGATTTAAGTATATACATATATATTAATTAATACTAAGTAAGGCAAAAGTATATGCAAAAGAAATAAAATAAAGCTAGATGCATTCTATGAATTCTCTTTCAAGTTTTGTTTTATGCGCGGGAAAGATATGAAACGCGGTGAAAATAAATAGATGAAAAAAAAAATGGATAACTCGCGTTGTAACGCGACGAATAATCGATCTGATACGATTAAGTAATATTGTTGCAATATTGCTTTCACTGCGATTGGTTCACTTATATAAAATACAATATGTAACTGGTTTAACGTTTCACACCAATGTGATATTTACACCATCCGTACATGTACACAAACTTACACACAGGCACGTGGGACACGTACACATTCATTCGTTGACAGTATTTTCGCAAGCGCACTGGCGTCAACTTATCAGTTTAGTTTCACTCGAAATCGCAACGGTGTGTAAGTTAACAGATGTAACCAACACCTTTCATGAGAGGTAAATAAGTTTGTTTGAGATGTGAACAATATCGAAGGAAATGAAACACTATAAATATCCGCAATTGTGGTTATACTATATTCTCTCGCAGATGTGCCTGTTTTACGTTTTTATTACACTAAAAATCGTGTTCTCATATATGCGTAAAAATCTACCAGATGTGATTTGTCGCGAACGAAGAACCGAACAACGTGTTTTCAAATTTTTGGCATTTTTTTGAAACTCGGATTGTTTTTTGTGTTTTGGACGTTTTGATTTCTCCTAACGTGTAGTACCTAGGAAAAACAAACATGTCATTCGCAAACACAGTTACACAATACGCTGAATCACAACGTGTTGGACTGACGAATCATACATTTGCGCTACGATGTGTTATGGCTTAAAGTGATAAGAATATGCTTTTGTCTTTAAACTTCCATTTTAATCAATAAGTTAAATATATATATTTTTTTGTTATTCTATATGTCTCACAGTTTTTAATAAAGGTTTAGATAAGAAATAGGAATAATTAAGATGATGTAATCATCAACTGTATTACTAAACGAGACAACAATAGGTTTTTTTTCCCTGAACTGGCTGCACTAGTTCACAGTGTATCTTTTTTTATCCATATTAGAAAGAAAAAGATAGAGTGTGAACTAGTGCAGCCAGTTCAGAAAGAAAAACAAACCTAATTATGACAAAACAATGCAATATATTATTTCTTTGTTGCTTGTGATTTGAGAAAATAAAAGTTTTACTTCTGCTGTAATCTTTGCAGAGTGGAAAAATGGCATTAAATATTTGAGTGTTACTTGAAAATAAATCAAAATTTTAAGTGTCATGTACGCACAAGTACTAATAATTTATAGAGGAAGATTTCAATTAAATTATTGGAAGATGTTTCTAATGGACACTTATACAACAAAGGGATAAATAAATAGATGATCTGTACAAAGTAACACAAAAAACATATTAAGCTGTTGAACTGTTTAACTAATTATTAGCTGTTGTTATGTCGAGCACTGGATCGATTGTATCGCAAACTCTTTCTCATCTGTCAGAGAAAGAACATGGGTCTATCTTAACCACAGACTATTCCATCATCAGAGGAAAGGTCAAAATGCTTATTTATGTTAAATTTGCTTCTTTGTCAATATAAAGTGCCTTATAATATTTCATAAGACAATAATATTCTTAATGTATAAAATAATATTGATAATTATATAAATGTTTTTAGAATGTTTTGGTTAGTCCATCTGAGGAACAATACGAATTGTTGTTGAGAAGATTGAAAGAAAGAATCCAGGATGGAGGAAGTGAGACAATTTTTGACATTGGTGTTGCTGAAGGTAAGTGAAAGTTGCTGAAGCTATTTGGAAGAGATATATTTAAAAAGAGATAAAAAAGTAATTTTTTATGTTTAAATATTGTTTTCATGAATGTTTTTAATGCATTTTTAGATGGATCAGAGGATGGATTAAAAGAAGATGAGTATGAGGCATCAGTTGCCACTTTACAATCTTTGGCTGCAACATTAGAAGCTGATTGTGTACTTCTACGCCAAAGTAAAGTAGATCATGGTCTTACAGGACAATATCTAGTGAGAAGGCGGCTAGATCGACAAGACTTCTTAGAAATTAGGTTTTTATTTTATACGTTTTTGTAGTATAATATTCCGAGATTTATAGTAATTTTTATAGTGAAAGAAAAACTTTTATTCTTCATATAAAACAACTGATTTTAGAGTCGCGGTTGTTGGTAATGTGGATGCTGGAAAATCAACGCTATTAGGAGTATTAACTCATGGCGAATTAGACAATGGACGAGGTTTGGCACGACAAAAATTGTTCCGTCACAAACATGAGGCTGAAACAGGACGAACAAGTTCTGTTGGAAATGACATACTTGGATTTGACAGCGTTGGTGAGCATCAAGATTTGATTCGCATATTCTATACACAAATTATTTATTTTCTATTATCATGTCATTATATATAATCGCAGGCAACGTTGTTAATAAGCCAGAACATGGATCATTGGACTGGGTAAAAATATGTGAAAAATCTTCTAAAGTGATTACATTTATCGATCTAGCTGGTCACGAAAGATACTTAAAAACAACAGTTTTTGGAATGACTGGACATGCCCCAGACTTCGGTAAAACAAATTTTTGTATAAAACTACGCAATTTGTGAGGAATATCCATGTGCGTGTTGTAATCTTGATATAAATATTATTTCAGGCATGTTAATGATTGGCGCTAACGCGGGCATTGTAGGAATGACTAAGGAACATTTGGGTCTTGCCTTAGCATTATCTGTACCAGTGTTCGTTGTCGTGACGAAGATTGATATGTGTCCACCGAATGTTTTGCAGGAAAATTTGAAGTTATTAATAAGGATTTTGAAATCTCCTGGTTGTAGAAAAGTTCCGGTTACAGTAAAGACACCTGACGATGTGGTAGTTAGCGCTACTAATTTTGTTTCAGAACGGTTAGTGATATTTATAAATCAAAAACGCGAAAATGAATATAACTCAAAAGTGCTATATAATATTTTGATTTTGTACAGATTATGTCCAATTTTTCAAGTGTCTAATGTGTCTGGCGAAAATCTAAATCTCCTTAAAATGTTTCTCAACTTATTGACTGCAAGAATTACTAGTCACGATGACGAACCTGCCGAGTTCCAAATTGACGATACATATTCCGTGCCAGTGTGTATTGTATATCACGTAAGCAGTTCTTTTTCAATTTGTAACATTTATGTCATTGAAGTTACAAATTTCAGGGAGTTGGTACTGTAGTGTCTGGTACAACTTTGAAAGGTATTATAAAGCTAAATGATACCTTACTATTGGGACCCGATCCACTAGGTCGTTTTACACCAATAGCAGTCAAAAGCATCCACCGAAAGAGAATGCCCGTCCGTGAAGTGAGAGGTGGACAAACTGCTAGTTTTGCTCTAAAAAAGATCAAACGATCAAACATTCGCAAAGGCATGGTGATGGTTGCACCGGCGCTTAATCCACAGGCCTGTTGGGAGTTCGAAGGAGAGATTTTGGTGTTACATCATCCTACAACAATCAGCTCTCGCTATCAAGCAATGGGTAATAGTTTGTTTAAACAAGTATGCTTTATGAATTTATATACGTATAATCTCATTTCAAACATAATTACAGTACATTGCGGCAGCATAAGACAAACTGCTTCCATATTATCTATGTCTCAGGATTGTTTAAGAACAGGCGACAAAGCCTTAGTGCATTTTAGATTTATCAAACATCCTGAGTATATAAAACCTGGACAGAGGATGGTATTCAGAGAGGGTCGTACTAAAGCAGTAGGAAATGTAGTAAAACTTATACCACACTCAAATAACACAATGTCACAATCTTCCAGGATTAATAAACCGAATAAAACGTCACAGAATCAAAGGCAAAATATAAATATGCAGGTATAATTTAATACGATACACTGCATGCAGAAATTATTATTTTCGATTTTATATAGAATATTTTAAGTTTATAGTGTAGATAAATTGATTAATCTTAATATATGAGTAATCAATATATTAATCTTAATATATGTAAAAACATACAAATAGATAAAGATTTTATTGTGATTAGACATCAGAAATGACCGAAGCTGATTCTATGCTCGAGGCACAAACGGCTAAACAGGAAAATGTACCGCTAAAATCTGGTGCAAACCAAAATAAAAAAGGCAGAGGTCGAAGAGGAGGCCGATCTCACAATATTGTCAATAATATTCAGCCTTTAGCAGAACAAAATCCTCCTACAAAAGTATAAGAGTCCACACATCGATGTACAAACAAAAAACATTAAGAATCGCGGCTAATATATCTCAAGTAATCGTATTGATTTGTAACGGTCTGTCATTTTTAAAATATGGCTGGTACGAGATATATAGTCTCGACTCTTAACCCTTTGCGGTCGGTGCCGCCACTGTGGCGGCATTTGTAATCTGTCGTAGAAGTCGGTGTCGCCGCTGTGGCGGCATGATCACGTCTCGAAAGATCACTCCACAAAAATTGAGATTAACAGAAAGCTAGCCATCCAGCTAGCCAGCTCCATTTAGCTAGCCAGCTAAATTTGCGCCGACTAGCTGGTACTCCCAAGCGAAAAATTTACCGACCGCAAAGGGTTAATATTCATAACTTTTTTTCCAACGTACAACTTTCTCGAAAAAGAATATTGTGTCGTCTGTAATACAAAACCCAGAACTGTATTATTTATAAAATGATTTCTATAAAGAAATTGACATATTTGAAATTATTCAGGCACATACTGTAAATTAGAGTACAAAAAGTTTTACTTATTAATTACATTAGAAAGAGAGATATTCTTTTACTAATATTAAAAAACCCCAATATTTATAAATCATATTATTTTTGTAAGAAATAAATGTATCGTAAATCAGAATACTACAATCTAGATAAAATTAGAAAATACACGTGGTTTTATTTCTGACATAAGTATGTGCAATATATGTATAAATATTTACATATTTATAAAACATGTATAAAACTCTTTTTGTAAGAAATATAATTGATATTTGTTTTTTCTCTATCTCATTGTATGCAACAATTACACAATTTCATTAAAAAATTCAAATTATGTGAAAACTGAGAAGAATGTACTTCATTCATTGTCATCAGATCGATGCAAAATATTGTACTCTAAATATGTATAAGAAAATTTCTCGTTGTGGAATCAGACATATTTATTCCTTAATAAATAATTTACATGCTTCAAATGCACGTGCATTTTGTTTTGTCATATCCACTTTGATTTTTATGTTCAAATATCTATACACAGCATTTCTTTGAATGATCATTTATCAATTTTACTTGTCAAAATAAAAATTTTCAAATATATAATGTTCAAAGATTAGACATTGAAAATAAACTTTTTTGTGATATAAAAAAATTTACATTACTTTGATTACATGCCGAAATAATTACATTTTACCCATACAATTATAAGATTTACAATCATTATTAATACAAGTGCTATTACTAAAGGAGGGATTCCTCCCAGTACACAGTCTAGTATAGGAACAATATACATGTTATAATGTTTGGCAGAGGTACAAATGGATTATATAATTCTCACTACAAATAAACTATTTTGGTGGATTTTTTTTAAATTCATCGTTCTCTTTTAACTGTCGTTTTAGGTTTTCTGCAATTTCTCGCAGCTGTTTAATAAAGTCTTTTGGACCGGAAATAGGACGACCTGTTCCATGAATCATGCCTGATCTAATTAGTAAATAGACTACAAATTGAGCACTTCTTCTAATTGGTTTCGATTCAGCTAATTTATTAATTATTTGTTCATTATTTAATAAGTATTGAAAAAAAGCTCTTAAGAAACGCATTCTTGAAAACTTAAGTGGCTCTTCTATATATTCGCAAACAAATGCACATATTTATACTTTTGATATTTCAAATGTACATGTATTGCGATACTTTAATAATAATTCACGTTTTAGTCTTAATTGCTTACGTAATGTCTCAAGTTTTTGTAACTGTTCTTCTTTACTATATTCTATTCCTGGTAATCTTTTAATCTAAAACAAAAAAATAACAATAGTTTCACATAAAACATTTATGTATATATCTGAAGAAACAAAATCTCACCTGTGATCTTGCAGAATCTAACTTCTTTTGCAATTCTAGAATTTTATGACTGGTATCCTGTGACTCTTTAGCTTTTTGTGTAGTATCATGCGGATCTTTTTCAACACTAAACAGTTTAATGTACTTGGTACTTAGTATTCATTTTCATATACAAAAAAAATTAATTTTTAAACAAATATAATTTAAAAACATGTTAATTTATCACCTTTGTAAAATTTTTATGTTTATTTTGAGTTATGTATCAAATACAATAAAAACCACTTCTACATATTTTTTATATAAAAATAACGCACAAATAAAATATTAAATCATTACTGCAAGAAACGCGTGATAGATAGTTTCAATGAGAACTCTTAAAAAAATTCATAAGTTTTTATGAAAAACACATTATTTATGAAATATTAAGCATTTTTTGTATTTATAAGAAAAATGTTATGTAAGGTTATATGCCGGTCACTTGGTCAAAAAAACATTTACATAAAAAGTAAAACAGTTCTTTACTTTACAGATCGTACCTGCGAATGATCTCATAGATGAGCGGCAGTATTTCTATATCTAAATCATCGACAGTAAATTGTGTCCTTAAAGAAGTGTCTTCTGACAGCTCCCCCGTCTCCATTACGTTATTCACAAACACATTATACAGGCTACGTTCCAATATTCACTGCAAGTACTGATGATGTGACGTCATTCGTACATTCTCAGGTACTGCATGCAGTTGGTTTGGTTGGTCACCTCTCTGCTGTAACCAAAAGCACGAACGCTCTGACTACTTTTTCATGCAGCATAAGCGCAGCATCACATACAAAATGGCCTAGTTGCGTATGCATAGCATAAGACTACTTGAACCAATGAGCATCTAGCATAAAGTCGCCATATTGATTTAAAGAGCATCCTTCTATTCTTCTCTCTATATTAATTAAAAACGTAACTAAAGTCACGTGACAGGAAAAAGTAGAAAAACAACACGTGAAAATAACGTGACTGTAATTTATATTATATATAACAGTAAATAATATATATATATATTATACATATAATTTATTATATATTTATAATATTATACTTTATATTATATTATATACATATACTACAGAGTAATGTCACTGACCTCGGCCGCGCGGCCTTGGCGGGGTCACTGACTTCGGCCGCGCGGCCTTGGCGGGGTTACTGACCTCGGCCGCGCGGCCTTGGTGGGGCGGGGTCACTGACCGCGGGCGTGCGGCCTTGGTGGGGGGGGTCACTGACCGCGGTCGCGCGACTGCGGTGAAGTCACTGACCTCGGCCGCGCGACCGCGGCGGTGTTACTGACTTCGGTTACGTGATTACGGTATATACATATATATACATATATGCGTATGTGTGTGTATTATATATAGATATAGAATATTACATATAATATACATAATATTCTCTTTTTTACCCTTTTCCCTGTCACGTGTTGTTTTTCCACTTTTCTCTCTCACTATTTTTTGAGTTTGATTTTCATGCGTTATTTCTGACATTTCTCATATGTGTATTATATGGTTTATAAGACGTATATACTGTCATCGCGGTGACAGGTTGCGTTTACTGACAATACGTTAAATAAAAATAACAATAGCGTACGCGTAGCGCGCGCCTGTGTTGTGCTAGTAACATAAAATTGTGTTAAATGTTCATTGATTGAGATTCTAAAGAAGCTTGATAATCCCAGCACAGAAAATCCAAAAGACATTTTAAAGATGTTTAGAAAAACAATAAGACGTTAAAAAGACATTTTAAAATTGGTTTTTAGTATATAGTCTTTTAGAGAACTGTCATGCTGTCTGGGATAATTCATATATACATGTACTTCATCCTTACTTCTTAGCAATGTTGTATAGTTGTCAGAATGTCTGATGTTAATTTTTGAAATCTAAGGTTTTAATAATTACACTTTGATGACAATTGTGTGTGTTTATTTAATATATAAGTTACTTTTAAGAGTACTCTTTTTTAAATTTTGCAAGATATATCTTTAAAGTTTTCATAATATCACATAAACAAGATATATTACACAAATCTGCGATCGTTATATTAGCAATATTTAATATAAGTTGCTGATAATACTTAATTATTATTATTAAAATTTAATTTATAAATTTTATTCAGTCTTTATTATTTATTTTTACTCAACACTACATCTGCAAGATAAATAACGATGCACGTTTAGTTTTGGTTTTATTCTATGATATGTTTAAAATATTTCACCTATAAATACATATTTAACATTTAAATATTAAACAAGATTTAGACAATTATATAATTAATATAATTGTAAAAGACAATTATTTAGTTACAAAAAACAATTAATATATTAAACAATTAATATAGTTAGTATGCTACCAGAAAAAAACCAAAAATGTTTTTACTTGATATATACATACCTAAAATAAATAAAAACTATATTAAAAAGTAAATAAGCAAAGATAATGTTTTTTATTAATAACTTTAAAAACAAATGTAAATAATACTGGCGATAAAGTAGAAATCTACTTGTGTGACCGATACTGTCTGACCGACAGCCAACAAGTCAATTAAGTTCTAAAAAAAATATAAATGTAGAGAGATTACCAGTATACACATATTGCATATAATGTATTGTATATATATATTGTATATATATATATAGTATATATATATATAGTATATTTCATACATAAATTTCTATCTAGATTAATTGTGATTTCAACTGTGATTGGTTAATTTGGCCAATCAACTGATTTAATCGATTAATCGATTTTGTTGAGTTAAATTAACCGATTGTACCAAAAGTGATTAAACTAATTGTAGGTGTTTAGTTATTTATATGTCGATTAAGAGTAAATTACTTTATGTTATAGTTTAATTAAATAAACTGGTTTATTTTTTCCAAAAAATGTTAAAATGTATATCTATAACAAAACATCATAGGCAAATTCTTGAAAAATATTTAAATGTATATCGTGGGATGTGCATTCGACAGGATAGCAGCAATAAATGCGACGATATATGCGACGTAATTAAATACAGGAGAAACTAAACTCAACGTAGTGAACTCCGAGTGGGAATACTTGAAAATTAAGTCATGTGATCCAGATCACGCGTTTCTCATTCTTGCACGTAAAATTCATTTCGACTGGTATGCGTCTTGTAATAAACAAGAACACACAACACGACATCACGCTTATAAGCACGCACAATATGTTATCATTGCTTAACATGAATATCATTTGCTGTTTATAGAACATTACATCTACGAATTACAGTAGCTTTCTACTTTAGAATATGAAGTGAAGATAATAGTATTTGTCTTATTGCGCGCGGCAGAACATAGACTTATATGGTAATGAATATGGAAGTTTCAAAAGACACTTTCTAAGTTACACTTTGAAACAACTAGAAATGTCCAAGACTTACAATGTAAGCATTGAAAGATAGGTTTTTGTTTTTCGATTATACTCGTAGAATCTTTAAATGAATCTTTCAAGTCATATTTAATTTATCTGAATTGAAATGAGAAAAATAAAGGATATAAAAATGTATCACTTTTTATCACAAACGGTGCTCGACAATCTCAGCAATGCTTTCTACAACATATATACGTATGTAATATGCATATACATGTATATACAATAAACACATGCGTACGGTGGAATCGGCAGACGATGTAGAAATATTTTTCAGACATCCTGTATAGTGTGCGCTTATCTCTTCCCGAGAGATAACGCTCCGATACCGAAAATACGAGTCGTTCGATCGACCGTGTCGTATCGAAAGCCGTCTCCCGTACGGAACCCCACCCGGTATACACGTTCCTATGCCTATGTATCGGCCGTATGTATTCACGTATGTACTCGTGGAGTCTGCACCCCCTCCTCCCGCACACGTATACACATACATTACATACGTGAATACGTATACACAAACAAACGGTGCACACATATGTACGCGTGGCGGTACATAAGTGTGCTCGTATCGGGCATACATAAGGGTTGATAGTGCTCAGGCGAGCGAGTCACCCTTGCGTGCAGGGCGTGGCCAGGGTCCACCAATCAGAGGACGGGGAGAATCTCACCGAAAGACCAAATCGAACGAAGTAAAAATTTCAGCGGTCGCGTCAAACGTCGACGCTAAAGGGGATGAGCGCGGTTGATCCGGGCTTACATTTTCCTTACTTACCTCCCCTGTAGCAACTCACGCCACCGTCACGCCATTCTCGAATCTCGTTTCTCTTGGAACACTCTTTCACGCGTGACTACAATTTTACTTGCGGGCTTACTGTCTACCAATTTCCTTTCTCTTCTGGACTTTACAGCAATTCAAATTTTGCAATTTATTTAGTGTTATAATTTTTCTTTAACAACTTTCTATCATTTAAAAGTCTTTTAAAACTTGATAAAATCACTTGAAAGAATATAAATATACACTTTTATAGAATTTCTATATAATTTTATATATATATATATATATATATTTAATTCAGATATGTATCTGCATTAATTTACAAAATTAAATTAATCAAGTTTATCGATAAGTAAAAAATAATTAAAAGAATTAAATTTTTTCCGAGTGTGCAAATGCTTCCACAAGTTTTTCGGTCGCAAAACTATATAGAAGGTGGCCGAAGATTGCAGAAAGGAACGAAGAGAGACATATACATACGAGAGAACGTCAGGAGACGCAAGACGGAGTGGTAGGGTCTGCGTTTAATAGCCGTAGTGTTACCTCGGAGGCTCTTCGCCATTAAGAATCCCGCAAGACCCGGGTGCTTTCCCTACCTTCTAACCACCCCCTCTGGTCACCTCCAGTCAGGCTTCGCCGGGACATATTACACCGCGCCCCGGTGAACGCGGATACGATACGCGGCCGCACATGTGTGTGCCCGTCTATGGCTATATATTGTCAGAGAGAGGGTATACCACGGTACACTAAAATCATTAGGAGCACGTGCGCCTCGCAGCGCGCAGAATCCCAGTTCCTTGCCATTAGAATGCTTAGACGACGACGCTGTCCTATCCGGAGATCAATATCAAAACAACGCCGCGCACAATCGCGAGATGACGCAAATCCCGGAGCTTCGACGAAGTCTTGCAAAACATGGTCTCATTACTTCGCGAAAACTTTTTTTTTTTATTTTAAATGTGTAACAGTATACACGCGCTATGCATCATTCTCGTCGAATAACGACCTCGAGAGTTCGTATCCTCATCTTCGTGCTCTGACCGCGAAGCTGAAGGAAAAGAACGTCGCTTACACAATCTTGGCGCATCTACTTTTCTAAATTACGTTGCCCTTCTTCACCGTCTCGGCTCGTGCATATAAGAGGTCGCCTCAAAGAAGAAAGAGCGAGTGAAAACGAGCGACAGCGTAGGGAGTTGCAGAGGACAACGTGGAAAAAGAGAGAGAGAAAGAGAGAGAAACGGAGAATGAAAGAGCGAGAAGAGAGACAAGGAAAATAAGCGAGCTGCAGAGAGAGCTGGTACTCTCTTCGTCGCGCTGCTTAAAATTCATAAGGCGCTCTGTTTACTTACTAAAGATACGCGGCTTGTGCCCCCGTCGCACCCCAATCCCATGCCCTCCAACGTGGTAGCCCGCGCCACCCTCGCGATGCCACGCGAGCGCCGTGCTTTATCGCGGAAAATAAAATTATTGGTTGCACTTTTCTCCACGCAAGCTCGCGCCGGTTTATTTTTGTCACCGCCCGACAGAATCTCGTGGCGCAAATTTTTCCAAGACGTTTAAACTAAAGCAAAAGGAGAGAGGTTTTTCTATTCTTGCCGAATATC